ACAAATGATTAGTTCTATTGATTATGTTTGCCTAATACTTAAATTCAAATAAATTTATAATATTCACCAATTTGGACAAACATACTCGCCTTTTCCAACAACCAAAGTCAGAAAAACATACTCCCGTTTATTGGTATTCCAAACTAACAAAATACATACTCTGGTTTAACGCAAATTAAGGTTTATGAAACATACTCGCCTTTATCATAGCCACAAACAGTCAAAACATACTCTACTTTAGCTATTTTTAAGTCGAAAGAAACCTACACTTCTGTTTCGTAACAAAGTCAATGAAACATACACTACTCTCAATCTCACCCATATATTTGTTCTTGTGTAATATTGAAACCATCAATGAACTTTGTTTGCCATCCATAACGTATAGTAGAACATTTTATTCAATTTCAATTCTCATGAGTTTTTGTCATTGTTATTGATTACACCGTCCGACAAAATAAAAGTTGTCGTCTCGCACATTGGGTGTTTGAATGCACGTTGATAGAGGACCCCAACACAAACATTTCTGCATTATTACTTTCTCCGGAAGACGTCTGAATAAGAAAAATATCGCCTTTGGTAGGCTCTAAGGTAGCGCCTATCAACATATCACAATGAAATTTGGTTTAGAGCTTTAAAATTATGATAGAAACCTACATTATTTGAAAGGTGAGACGTTTCCATAAATTTTGGTACCCTATTTATCAAAATCGGTTGGAAGGTTCGCGAGATATACCACAAAACATGTTTGAACTCACCAGAACTGAAAAATAGCAAACTTTGTTCGGCGACTGTACTTTCTTGCAGATAAAACTGCAATTTAGGTATTGGAATCTAATTTTTTCATGAAAAAACTAATCCATACCAAATTTGAAGCCATTTGGATGAAAAATTAGGGTACCTCTCGAACAAATGTTCGATTTTTGTTCGAAAAATAGCCGAATTTACACAACACTTACTAGATACCGATGTTACACTTTAAGAAAATCTTTTTTGTTGTTACACTTTGAAAAAATTCGATTGTGTTGTTTCATTTCAATAAATTTTTTATTTTTGTTTCACTTATATGTGTTGTGAATAGAAGTTGCGTTTTCATTCTCGGACATTCAAATAAATAAATAAATTTTATCGGATTGACGAAAAGCACGTTGAAATTTTGAAATAGAAATAATAAAATGCAATAAAATATTTGTATATTTTAATGAGAATAACAGAAATGCGTGAACATGTGCATTACACCGCCGCAATCCATCGCAATAATATAATTTGGATAATATGAAACCAGCGGAATATGGAACACAGTGAAGTGATATTTGTTAGATTTCATTTTCATTCAAGTTGATGAAAACAAAAAAAAACTTGCAATTTTAAAATAGAAAAGATAAAATTAAATGAAGAATTTGTATATTTTAATAAAAATAATAAATGGAAATGTGCACTCATTTATTTTCTTCCTGAAAAAAAAACAAAGAATAACCAATTATAACAGTTAACACATAACGGAGTTTTTCATAACAGTTTTTTGAATTCGACATGTCGTATAACAGTTTGCAACTTCCCAACTGAAGGTGTTTTAAATGGGAACTGTCGAAAGTGGCCACCCCCCTGACGAAAACTCTCTATATTGACAAATTTCTCCATGGGATAGGCTATATGCGTTTCGGTTTCGAAAACCGTTTGGCGGAGAATCGCAACGTAAATAGTTTGCCATGCGATGACTGTAAATTATTCAATGGATATGGAAGAATCAGTGTACAATGAACTGGAAATGTCCCATACTCAAAGAAGTAATAATTTATTTATTCAAACTGCACATTGTTCTGAGGTTCAAAACTCCCACACATATTTTTCAAGCTTCTACAAATTCAACAGCAAATTCCAGTCTGTGAAAGAATTCATATTTAAGAGACGTTTTTTTATAGTATGTTCCAAAGCAATTTTTACTAACTGTTAACACTTTTCTGACAAGAAAAACGAGGTTTCTCACCACATAATTCCTGCATTCCTGTGCATTTTACTGTCTCATTGCCTTCTTTAATATTTGATTATGCATTTTGTATGAACATGGTTTTATCGACAATCAAATATAATCTGATCTGATTTATTTTGGATTCCTTATTTTTGAAAATAATACTAAGAAAGAAAATATTATTAACCCAGCTCTATTGGTAAAACAATGGTTCCACATGCAAGGTCATTGAAAACACAATACACAATTCGAATTACGTTATGGTTCTGTTGATTTCTCATAGTATTTTTTCACCCACAACGAAAAAAGAGCGATAAAAAAGTCAATGGCATTTACCAACAACACTTTTCATTTCTATTTCTTTGGACGAATACAGTGGTATGGGGTGTATAAAGACAGTTGAAACTTACATTCAAATCGCAATTGTAGTGCAGAACTCGTGAAGTGAAGATTAAAACGTGGTATACAGGATGTTTATATTCAAAACAAAAATGCAGCAAACATACTAATACTTTTTTGTTTGAATGTTCTGAATCTCTAACAGTTATCAATCACTGGTAATAAACAGTTATCAATCATTGTGCTAATTCTTCTGAAGAGAATTCTGATGATTCAATTGTGATTAAAAACTTGAGCGAAAATAGTGTTATTCCCTCTTGTGAAAAACCATAACTACATCAAGAAATTCTGTATTTGAATGCAATAAGAAATAGTCAAAATTAAGTACGCCAAATCGTCTTTTGTGTGGTATATCCTTTTGGTAATGACCATGTTGGTCGTTTGGTTTGTTCTAACGTTTGGTTTAGTAACACAGCCCAGAACTATCATTGCGGATAAAACCCATGCAGCAATCATTGCAAACTCACCCACCACGAAAACTGATTCCACTGTTATAAATGAAGATCCCGAAAATTCGAAAACAAAAGATGGAAAAAAGCTAGAAATTATCAAACAAATTAGGCGCGTAAATAGTGATGGTTCATTCGTAGTTGGCTATGAAGCTGTTGATGGAACATTCAAGATTGAGAGTCGTGATGTTCTTGGGAATATAATGGGAACGTATGGTTATATAGATGAAAACGGCGAAATTAAACGTGTTTCATACACGGCAAATAATACAACAAATGGTTTGAAAAGTGTTCAACATCAAATTTTAGACTCACCACGAGAAAATAAAACAACAGCTTCGACTCAGAAATCATCTTCTGTAGGTAGCTCAGCTGTGCCTTCACTTTCCAACATTATTACCATACCTAAGATGCGAACTTATTACGCTTCAACTCAAGCAACAAAAAATTATCAACAATTACACACTACACCGAAAATTTGGAATATGAACCACGACCAAAAGTCTGAACCAACTACGACTATCGTTTATGCAACATCAATGGAACCAACAGCTAAACCGAACACAATGTCTACAACACGATCTGTTCAAAAGACGGATAAAATAGAAATTAATGAACGTTTTTCAAAAGTCATTAACGTTAACAAAATTCATAAAATTTTAAATAACACCGATGTGAAGTCGGAACGTAGAAAAGTTAGGGCTAATACGTTGAGGCGCCAATTGTCAAAAGATCAGAGTGAAAATTTCGAAACTAATCCACAAGTTGTATACAGCCAATCTTCGGATGAAGATTCAGTGCACGGTACACAACGAACAATATTTACTACTACAAGTAATCCTCGGATACCAGCGCTCGTTCTTGCAGCCCGGAATAGAGCTGCAGTGTTGAAAAATGCGGCATTGCAAAACAAAAATCATGCAGAAAAAATGTATTCAAAATCATCTCGATGGAAATCTGATCGATCTGAAGATAGTAGTTCGATTTCGGAACCATTGTCAGAAAATGAATACACAACACAGAGTCCAATGGCATCTCAAATACCAACTGACAAGGAAACAACCCATGATGATATTGGGCCACCATTCAGTCAATTGAACACATATTTGCCCAAATCTAAGGAATTATTACGCGGAAGTATTCCAAGGCAGTATAAATTCCCAATACAACCGAAATTTTTACAACGTGAAGTGGAAACGGGGCAGTATTTGAGAGAAACATCTGAGCCCAATATAAAACATCCGAATAAGTCAAATGTAGAACAATATGTCAGTAATGATGAGAACGCTGAGACTCATTCAATTTTGCAGTCATTTAATCCAAACTACCAAGAAATGTATGGGCAACCACAAAATTTACGAACCGATAGCGACCAAAGATTCCAACAGGTACAATAATTTTATCAAGATATGCCATTTGACGAATGGCAATCATAACATTTATAAATAAGAAATGTTTTTGCTTACAATAGAAAAATGTAATATAGTCGAAGAACCGACGCTATGCCTTCTCTACGCCAACGCCAACTGGTGCAAGAACAAATAATACAAGCACAACGTACGTCAAATTCAAAAGCTTGTATACAAATGTATACATGTGTCAATTGCTTATTGAGGGGTTTTCTGTTCTCAAGAAATATTTTGAGTTCTTTTTAGTAAAAGCGCGAATATTTTTTTTTTCAATGCAAGAATTTAATCTTGTTATATTAAAACATAAAATCAAAAATTTGTCTCGTGTTCTTGCGTGTTTTTGTCAACTCAAGAGTAACTAACGAATTGCGAACAAATGTCAGTTGACGTTCCACGTTCCGATTGTTTCAATGACAACATGAAGTGACA